ACCTCTTCAAGTGGCCAAGGTTGAAAAACACTGCTCTACATCAAGAGTTTTCAGACTCTTTCAGGCTGTGCAACCTATTGGTTAAAAAAAAATTCCCTACCAAGAGGCACAGCTCTAGCAGAAGAAAACTGGCTGTCCAAGTTCTCACCAACAGGAAGTTCAGCAGATAAAGTTTGTAACGGCAATTTCCCACTCAGCCCACCTTCTACTTCCCCGGCTATCGTAAGGACAATCATTTTACCGGTTGGTTGTAATGACCAGCTGTAACTCTCTCCTTCCTGTTTGCAACCTATTTGCAACTGTCTAATAACACGGAAACACCTCTGCTAGCCATAGTTGCGAGGCATTCAAGAAACCTTTGGAGGACCGGCGTGAAAAGGTATTAAATGAGCACGTGTGTTCAGCAGACGTTACAAGCTGCTTGAATGGAGGGGTGCAACACCTTGTAAATAATGTAGGTCAGCTGCTTTGGAGTAGGGACAAGCACTTAGTACCTCGCTGCACCTGGGTTTATGCAAGTTTTCTGCAGCTGCTGTGTCGCCTCAGGATAAGACGCGGCTGCTTTAAAGAGCTGCCAATGCTCCTGTGCGCTGAAGCACATTCGGGGGTTCATATTTACATGATGTATTGTCCTATTACTGAATAAACCAGGAGTGTCTAGGTTTACACAACACACTATCCCCAAATCACAGCATGGCTTAGCATATGTTGTTCCCACCCCTTCTTCAAAGAAATGAACCCCCCTCCCAAAAAAAGAGGATCACAGCAATTAGAAAGAAATCTCTTTATTGGTGGGTGGATGGTAATTTCTTGCCCCTTCTATAACATTCTAGATATTCGCTGCACTGAATTTGTTTTCCCCGCTGGAAAAAAAAATCTCACTTTTTATTCCAAAATTTCGTGTAATCATCCAGTTGAAAGTCGTCTTCAAAAGTGACTTCCTCTCGTCTGGACTTCATCAAGTTCTTTCTCCTCAACCGGCTTCTCCTTTCGGCCTCAGGGAGGGTGTTGATGTCTACTGGTACCTGAGGGGAGGAAAGACACAATCACGCAGGCCGGCATTGGCACATGGTTAGAGTTCTGCAATGGGCCCTACGTGGGGCTGCCCTGGAAGGCTATCCAAAGGCTGCTGTTCAACCCAAACAAGCAACCCACTCACTAACCAGGCCGTGTCGCTTTGAGCATCTGACAGCTATTTTGTGGTAAGTCTTACACCTACACGGGTAAGCTTCTGGGTTGAATTCCAACGGCTAGTTGTGGCTTCAAAAGCCCTTTGTGGCTTGGCACAAAGATTCCTGCAGGACATTCTGCTCTGGCCTGAGTTTGTGAGTTTGCTGGTGCTGGGCTTATGTGCTGCTGCAGTCCCAAAGCACTCTGAGCCGCTGACTTTCCCCTCTTTCAGTGAGAAGGTGAAGTGTAAAAATACAGCATCTCCAGAAAACCATTAAACAAATATTAATTAAAAGTACAGGACGTTTTGACATCTGAGGAACAATCAGATGGGTTGATTACGTGCTATCAAGTCAATGTCAACTCTTAGTGACCAAACGGAATGACCTTCTCCAGGACAATCCACCCCCAACCTGGTCCTTTAGATCTTCCAGTGGTGCACCATCACCACTGTAACCGAGACCATCCCCCTTGCTGTGGGTCCTCCTCTTCTTCTCTTTCCTTCCACCTTTCCCAGTGTTATGGACTTCTCAAGGAAGCTGGGTCTCTGCAATGATTGCTTGATTATGTTCCACCAAGTCAGTGTTGACCCTTAGCAACCCCACAGATAGACCTTCTCCAAGACAATCTGTCCCTAACCTTTAAGTCTTCCAAGAACGACACTGTCCCCATTGCCACTGTAACTGAGTCCATCCCCCTTGCTGTTGGTCATCCTCTTCTTCTTCCCTCTTCTTCTCTTTCCCTCTATCTTTCCCAGGATTAGAATCCTCTCCAGAGAGTTAGGTCTTCGCATACAGTAATGTGTCCAAAATATGATAATTTGAGCCCGGTTATTTGTGCCTCGAGTGAGAACTCTGGATTGATTTGTTCTATGGCCCAGAACAAATTTGTTCGTTTTGGCTATCCGTGGTATTCCCAGGAGTCTTCTCCAACACTGAACTTCAAACAAATCAGAAATAAACCATAAAAGGGAAGAGAGGGGGTGGTCACTCAAACTGAGCTATCCAAGGAGATCTTCCCAGAAGCTGCTGGTGGTGCCTCAAGTCCATGAGATGACCAGGGCGGAGGACAGAAAGCTCTGGGTTTTTTATCAGAGCGCCAAAATGTTGGAACCACCTTAGTCCAGAAGCTCAACTGGCCTTCTTAGTGATGGCATTTGCAAAGTTGGTAAAAACTGAACTTTTCTGTTCTGCTCTGGAGAAAAACTTTGTTGCTGTGAGCAGCCCAGAGTCGTGTTTTAAGATGGATGGCCATACAAATCTTTTAAATAAAATAAAACAAATAAAACTATTCACTATGGATTAATTTCTGTACTGTGTAACTGGAGTTGTTATTTACTGGTGGACTTTTGTTATTACTATTTTATACCACGGGGTGAGAGAGGTTAGATTTTTATCACCAGTACTTTATTATCTCTTCTATTGTTGTAAGCCACCATTTGTTGGTAACAATTCAGTGGCACCCAAAGTAACCATCATCATCAAATCAAATTTTTTAGAGACAGAAAAATATATTTAATAAATATCCTTGAGGATTGATATTCCTCTCCCCACCTATGTGGGTGGGCATCATTCCTTGATCAAATATTGAAATTTATCAGACATAACCTTGCCCCAGCCAAGACTTCAGAATGGTTTGATTAATATGAAAAAGATATTTATACCTGAGGTTTCATTTGGGATGTTTTACATTTAAATCTACAGTTTGTGGAAGCGGGAAAAGACCCCCCCCCTTTTTTAAAAAAGAAGGTCTCTGTGATCATCCAACACTTGATGAAACTCACTTCCTTATCAGGGCTCGCAAAAGCAAGCAGTTCCTTAAAATTTTATATGGAAAATCTTCAGTGACCAGATTGGTAACGCTTCAAAAACTTCCTCCAAGACTTTTTCTGCACTGCCCCTGATCTTCTGCAATCTACAAGCAATACAGGGTCTGTTTTCTGGCGTTTTACGCAGGAGAAGAGCATGTCAGGGAACATGCAAGCCTGAAACTTTACTCTCCTGCAAACAACGTGGAGGGGATTACCACTATTTCTGTCTCTATAAGCCGCCTGGACCAGAAACAGAGCTTGGAAGCAAATGAAATGGCTGGAACTTGGTTTGGGGGATCCTACACAGTCTCTGCAAGGAAAGCCGTGGGATTTAATGCTCACCGAAAGGATCCGCCTTGGCTCTTTGTAGCGGAGGTGGATCGTGGATCCGTCTGGCCTAATCAGGAGAACTGGATACAGCCGCGCGTACTTCTGCCTCGGGAAGCAAGCGATGGAGGTCCGATTCGAGTTCAGCTGGTGGGGTGACGTGTGAAGTCCGCAAGCCCTGAGAAAGAACCTGGACAGACCCTCGACCTGCAAGATGCTGAAACCAATTCAGACAACACAGAGTGACCGGCTCAATCCACTTATGCGTGCGTGACTTTTTTTTTTTAAATACCCCTCTCAGTGAAATCCCGCTTGATTTTTTTTCTCTATATAATTTTTCTTGAAACTTTTAAACAAGAAGATAAAAGCGAACAGAAGCTAATATCAAGGAAGGAAGAAAAAAGAAAAAGGAGGACATCAAAGAAAAAGCAAAAGGCGCCAGAAAAGAAGTTGAAGAAAAACAGAAAAGAAAGAAAAAAATACAAAGAATATTTCTGATATACTTCACAGCAGTTATAAGTACAAACATATTTAACCTCACTCTCTAAAGTTACATCGTGTTACTTCTTTCTGTAATCTATCTTGTTCATCATCAAAACCATAAATCACATTTTTTTTTTCATTTTTACGCAAAAAGTCCATAAAAGTCTTCCAGGCCTCAATAATGAAATCCCACTTTATTAAGGGAAGCTGACGCGGCTGGTGAGCAAAGGAAGAGTTTGGCTTGGCCCCACGAGACAAGGAGACCACACCAGCAGTGCCCGGTTGCTGCATCTTTGAAATCTCCCCAGCCGATCTATAAGAACAGAAGCAAGCTGCTAGTCCTTAAGACTGCAAAGAACGCTAGAGTGCCTTCTGATCTCGTCTTTGGTATTCTCTGCCACTAAACAAAATAGTTAGGGGAGAAATACATAAACTGTAGCTTGGGAGTCATATCCATCCTCCTTAGCCTTTGTTGTGGCCCAGATGGGGGAAGAGGATTATATTTTGGGGGTTGAGAGAAACTTGAAATTTTTTTTGCAGTTCAATCCTCATTCATTCTCTCTCTATCACTAATGTGTTTAGCACTGGTCACTCACTTTGACATTCAGGGCACCGTCCTTCCGCTCATTCTCGGTTTGCTCTTTTTTTGTTGCACTAAATCAGTGTTTCTCAACCTTGGGGACTTTGAGATGGGCGGACTTCAACTCCCAGAATTCCCCAGCCAG